GGTTCAACATAATGGAGATGCACCACAGTGACCGTGTCAAATGCAGTTCAGTATGAATCAAGGAATCCTAGCCCCCTAACGTGTTTGTCACCATGGCATCTCCTTAGAGTCGACGCCCAATAAAATTTTAACAATTGGAAAGAACACACTCAAGAATGGTATCAGATGTGGAAGAGGTGTGAGCGATATGTTCTAGAATTCTCTGTTACGCTCGCGAACCAAAAAATGTGACACACAGAAGAATATATGAGTCAGTACAGATTGATAACTATGCCTTAGATATTTGCATTCCATCCGAGATATTTGATCGCCCAACACACATGAGTTGCATCGTCATCAAATACCCAAGAACATTACCAATAATCATACATCACCCAACAACAAATCCAACACACTTCCACCACTCAACCAACACAACAATGTTACCAATCCACAAACACCCAACCCCACAATCAATACCAAAACCAATACATACCACACACGCAAACTGAATACCAAGAACAAATACCATAACCAACAACCCCATGTGGGCCCCTGTAGTTCTCATATAAGCCTCGACCTAGGCCTACCTGAGAAATATTCCTTAACTGGCCCAACATACATGCAGCCATCATATCACCTAGCACCCAACAAATATATGGCTACTAAACTCCATAATATTCAGATGACCAGTGCTATCGATCATCCATCCAACTCATACCCCCACCAACACGACCAAACTTTGAGAACATGGGTAATCGAGTTTTTGAAAGCAAGTCTTCAAGATTTGATTATCTGGAGAATTTCATGGACCCTGAACACATTGATCTCACAGGGTCCTCGACCCAACCACAAGAGAAAAAATATAGAGTCACACAACGAGTTAGGAAAGGACGGGAGTGCGGAACCACTGGTCGTTATTGACTATCGGACGCCAATTAAATTATATGTAATTTTTATTCCCGAAATACAATTGTTTTATTAAATTAAAAATCTTAGTTTTTTTAGTTTTATTTATAAATTGCTTATTATTATTTAAACTTTTTAAAAAAAAAACAACATTATACTTAGACGTCATATGAGATGGCTTCTTAGAAACAATGTGAATCTAGGCGTTATCTCATATAATACCTCCTTTAAAAATTAACATGCATGTGTCATCTCATATAGCGTGTTCACTTAATTCATATCTTAAACCTGATTATTTACGTAATTTTTTTAAAACATAATTATTAAATATTTTAATTATAAAACTTGGTTAATGCTAAAAAAAATTTTATTGTATCATATGACTACAATAGATGTTTCACCATAACGTTTTTTTAGCACTAACCATATTTTGAAAAATAAATACATAAATAACTATGTTTTTGAGAAAATTACGCAAAATAACTATGTGTTCTAAAAAAATGAATTAAAGATGAGCCGCCACTTGAATTGACGCCTCCTATATATGTTTCAAACTTTTTCAGTTACCTGCAGATTTTCTTGCAGATTTGACATTACTTGCAGACTTACTTGCGAATTTTCCTATAGAATTACCTGCGGGAAAATAGTCCACAGGTAAATCCGCAGGAAAAGATAAATCTGCAGAAAAATCCACAGATAAAAAGAAAAAATTGAAAAAAATTTAGGAGATGGTTAGGCGCCATCTCACTTGACACCTTCTTTAAAAAAATCAATGCATGCGTCATCTGAGATGACTACTCCATTATAATATTTTCTGAAACATGATAATTTACGTAAATTTTTCCAAAACATAACTATTTATGTTTTTTTTTTCAAAACATGATTATTGCTAAAAAAATCATTTCACTACAGCTTTGTTAAAAGCTTATAACTTTTTATACTAATTTATATTTTAAATAAATATTTCAAATAGCTTCTAAACTTATAACTTCATTTTTTATTTTTTTCTTATATTTTTAACTTCTTTTTTTAAATTAAATACTCTCTAGTCTCTATTATTAAAAAATAATTTTAATTTATTAAATAATTAATATATTTAATCTATATTAATTAAATATATTAATTATTTAATAAATAATAATTATTTTAATAAATAATAATTATAAAAAATAATAATTATGAAAAGAAATGATAATTGTTGCAATTATTAAAACTTTTTGGATAATAGATGACAATAAAAATATATTTCATGGATTAAATTGAAATAGAATAAAATGAAATACTTGGTAGGGGTCACTGCCTCAGCCCTAAAACCTCTCCCTTAGCTCAGCCCCCTAGCTATGGTAGGGGTCTCTCATGTTGTACTTGGAACATAATTGATGACATGAAGTTAATATGTTTTTTCTCTTAGTGTGACTATTGTTCCCAATAATTTACATTCATTAGAGAATTTACGAGAAATATAACCTAGAAAGAAAAGAGTTATTATTATTTTAACTTTCTGTCATATAGATTATTTTTGGTTTATTTTTTATTAAAAAAAATTTCAAAAACAACTTTATCATTTCAAAAAATTAATGATTTATTTTTTAAAATCAAAATCGGTAGGAAATCTACAGATTTTAAATTTAGAGGCTAAAAAATATTAGTTTTTTGGAATTATAAAATTACTTTTTAAAAAAATTTATAGAAAAGTAAATCAAAATAGTCTATATAACAAGCAACAACAGTGGTAATAACCTAAAGAAAAACCTTATAAGAAAATGTATAATATTTTGATTCATGACACTTACTTCTTGAAGTGTTGTCAAATGTTGATGAGCTATACAAAGAAAAGTGAGAGTGATAATAGGTTATGGTAGAGATAAAGGTCTAAGATTAGGGTTTGATAATTAGGCAGATAATACAAAATTAATGGATGTATCTATCTTTGCATTGTCTTTTGTCTAGATGCCACTTTTAATCAAACAAGTTCACTCTTCATTTTTTATTTTTTCAGTAATAAATAACTAACCCCATATCACACGCAATTGAAATTAAAGCAATGATAGGAACACTTTTTTACATAGTAGTGTACTACTCTAACTAACATATTGCTATTAGAATTTAATTTTCATACTTCTTTTAATAGTAAAAAAATTATTAAAGAGTCAATACGTATATGTTTGGTTTGGCTTTTGTAATGATTAAAAGTTATAGAATTGATTCTAGAATATTTGATTAGGTAAAAATAGAGTTAGATTTTGTTTTTAAAATTAATTTTATTTAAAGTTAAAATTTATAGTTTCTGTTTTTAGAATTAATTTTAAATTATTTTTATATTAAAATTTATTGTTCAATTCACTTTTACATAAATGTATTCCAAAATAAATTAATTATGTCAAATTCAATTCTGTTAAAATAATTATATAAATTTAATTCTGATAAAATAAATTTTGTCCACCGTCAATCCAAACACTTTAAATATATTTAATATATTTTTTATAATAAATATATTAAATATATTTTTGACAAAAGAGTCTATAAGTTAGATATTTGAAAATAAATTAATAATTAACATTTAATACGAGTTACTACTTTTTAATAATTATAATTAATTGGAAGTGTAAAAATAATAGATTGATAGTTTGTACATATATTAGTACATACTATATACCCGTCTCGATACTTGAGTAACGTTTGTACATATATCTCTACATATATCTTGTATTTAAGTACTACATTCATATCTATTTATTTGTATTTTTGATAAAAAAATTATCGATTATTTATAATATATCATATTATTTTAAATTATAAAAATATTATAGTTGAGTTAATAAATTAACAAATACTTATAATAAAAAATACATATAGAATATATATATATATATATATATATATATATATATATATATATATATATATATATATATATATATATATATATATATATATATATATATATATATATATATATATATTTGTTCTCATACTCGTTTATTTGTAGATATTTTTTACAATAGAGATGGATTCAATTAGCATCTATAATAATAGTCTATACATGTTTTTTTTTTATTGTTAAGTGAATTTTACTTATAAAATAAAATAAAAACTCTAATATGGACCCAACAGCACTCAAATATTTTCTTCGTGTCAAAATGATAAATTCCATATGTGAAATTTATATTAGTCTTTTTCATGATTACTCTTTCTCTCCCAACAAAAGTGATAGATGTTAAGTTAAAAATGTCCTTTTACATCCTTAGTAAAAGATAATATTAAAAACATTAAAGGTCACGTGAGATGTTAAGAAACAAAAATAGAATTAAGGCTTCGCTAATTAATAAAGATCTTATGCAAAATTACAAGTTTTGTTTAATTTTGATTGCTTGATTAAAAATGTTTGATGAAGCAATGAAATATGTGAAAGATAGAGAGGTTTGTGTTGGGTCCATATTATTTATTGAAGAAGAGAGTTACACTAAACTTCAACAACCAAACTGTACAATTGTACAATTGGCTGACAATCAAATCTAAACTAACTCACAAGTCGCACATGAACAAATTATTTTTCAAATAAATATACCTAATTTGGTGTTTCAACTTATATGGTTGGATCAATTTAGTTCCTATCATATTGCTATTTTAAAATAATCTTTATAATGTCACGTTAAAATTTATGTGTGTGAAATATTGCACATCCTATAATTTAATGTCTCTACATAACTATCAATTAAATTATATTAATAAAACAATCAGAGCTTATGTTTAATCTATACGTGTGAAGGTTGAATTTTTTTCAATACCTATAAGGTTAAATAATATATGAAGCTAACAACTTAAAACATTGGTTAGCATCATACAAATATCTAATTCAATTTAAGTATCTACTACACTTATTTGGTAAACTACCACAATAATAAACAATTAAAAAAAGTTACTTTGAGATGTTAATTTTTTTATTTTAAGAAAGGTGTTTTTATCAATTTTAAAATTTATAATCCTATAAAAAATGAGGTCATAAACTGCCAAAGTATCCTTTATAGGTGCTTACAAATATGTTGTCCTATATCTGTGTATCATCTTTTATTTTGAATTCCTAACCCTTCAACATAGTTTCCTCAATTCAAATGGCTTCATCTCAAAAAAGACTAGGAGAATTTCTTAATGAGCAACAAGAACCTTTCATGCTAGAGCTATACCTTCTAGAAAGAGGATACTTAAATGAAGATTCATTAAAAAAGAGAAAGAAAAAGGTTTTAATACCATTTTCAAATTTTCTAGCTTCTATAGTTAACAAGCTAGCTTTTCATAGCCAAGGTAATTCTATATCAACTTCTAGGGACAATGGTCAAAGAAAAAAACATGCAAGTTGCAATGTTCAAATTTCATCAGCCAGTTACAACTCTACCATGTTCAATTCATGCTCAAACGTTGATGAAGAAGGAACTTCAATTTCATCCCATAAAGATCACCATTTATGTTCTTCTCATATTCACCAAACTTGCAAGGAATGCAATATGAGGTAAGAACTAAATTTTTTTACATATATTTAATTAAACTCCAATGTTCAATTGTTAGAAAGAATTACTAAGTTGTTGTGTTGCTCTTGATAAAAATAGATGGGAGAGACAGAGATGCATAGAGGGAAAGATACCTCTAGAAAGTGATTCCAATGGTAAGTTACACTATTGACAAATTACAATTAATCATAGGTGATTGGCAATGTATTTAATTAAATCTCAGTATATAAGCATGTTGTTAAATATAAGTTCAACATGTAACCAAAAAAAATAAAAAATATAAGTTCAACATGTTTTTATGCTTGAATGAGGAATCGATATGAAACATTTTGGAAATAATTATAATTAAAATTAAATGTATTTTATGATTGATTGGCCATGTAAAATATTTTTGCACAACAACAATGCATATGAATTAAATTTAATTATTTAAACTTGTTATTAACTAATATATGAACATGATTTTATTATGGTTATTCAAGTTTAAACTAATCTAAATTAAAATTGAAAAATGATTCCAAAAATAAAATAAAAATTGTACAAAATTAAAATATTAATATATGTGTTTGAATTTTATTTTATAGAAACGGTTGAGATTAAATTCAAATTTTAAATTCAATTATCAAAACCAAATCAAAAGGCCTACATATTTTTTTTTAAATTATATAAATTTAATATATTACATTAATTTATTATTAATTAGTTTTTTTAACATAATTAAGTATAAATATTTAAAATAAACCATATTGAATTGAATTGTTCGGATCAAATTTTTATAAATTGTTATCTAAAATTGAACTAAATCATATATGTTTTTATTGTTATGGGATAAACTAAAACAATTCAAATCGTAATGCAAATACTAATTTTTATTGATTAAGAATGTCTTAGGCCATGTTTGAGAATTTGAAGGGGGAGGAGAGGGCTTTGAAAAATAGGAAGGATTGAGTTAAAAAAATAGAAAGGTTTTTTAATTAGGAAGATTTTGGAGGATTTGTTTTTCTTCATAACACTAAAAAAATCTCTAATTTGAAAAAACTCAAAATTTATATTGGAAGAGGTTGGAAAATTTTGAAAGATTTAGACAAGTTATTCAAATATATTTTTGTTTTTATAGTTTTTCAAAAAGTAAAAACACATTATTGATAAATATTATTTTATCATTTTAAACAAACTCTTTTTTTCAAAAAAATTTAAAAATTTTCTCTATTTTTTTTTAAAAAAACTATTTTTTGAAGCCCTCCCTTTTCCTCCCCTACCCTGCAGACTCTCAAACATTAGTGTTTGAATGTTTTGTGTTTATAAAACAGTGAACGAGGAAGTTAGGGAAATGCAACAGAGAACAAACATGCCTAAGAAAATCAGAGAGGACTCACTATTATCAGCTGCTATATTGAATTTACTTGGTGTCTCATCAAAAAAAGAAGATTGCACTAACCAGTCGCAAGAGTATATTTCTGAGCCTCGTGTTTCCCAAGTATTAAAATCCAAAAGGGTATTATCACACAAGATAAAGAAACTTCTATTTGATTGTGTTGAAGATATTACAATAACACTTCCAACAAAAGAGGTCAGAAAGCAAGTTCGCAGACAATCCATGGGGCCTATAGAGTTTGAGAAGCTCACTTGTCAAGGAACGAGAGAATGGAGACAATATTATAGTGAAGATGGTTTAATGTCTTCATTCACTATTGATTACTTGGATTCAATAATGGAATGGAGCAAGTTTGAACAACAAGTTAAGGATATTAGCTTTGAGATTAGTGATGCAATTTTGGATATTCTCAACAATGAAATTGTATTAGAAATTATTGCAACTTTACCACCTTAATTTCAAATTTTACCATTGAGTTCTTTAATTTTATTTTATTCAGTATTTATGTAAATTTTTATGCACATAAGTCAAGTTAACTTGTAGTTCTTAGTCTTACTTATCCATCAAGTAAATATTTTTTTAAGAATTTAGTTGTTCAATCAAATTTATTGACAATTTAATATTGTGCACATTATTATTTGACCATAATATTAATATTAATTTAATAATTTTTGACCATAATATCAATATTAATTTAATAATTTTTTATATAAATATAGGTTAATTTAATATTTTTTTTATATTTGTTTAACTATGTAATTTTTGAAAACTTTGTAAAGAATATCATTTCTCCTACTAAATAGTAAAAAAAAAATCAAAATTTTTTCACTAACTATTTACTCCACTTTTTTTAATCGGTTTCTTTTCCTTTATATATATTAGACTTTCTTATACTATCTAATTTTATTATAAAATTTTAACTATTTTTTATTGAGACCTTTTACTTTTCTTTACTATATATATTATATTTTTAAGCTATCTTATATTATCAAACAAAAGTTATATAAAAAGATTTAACAATACTAATTAAATAAAATTCGTAAGTCAGGTGAGCAATTATAGAAGTTAAGAGTCTGATGAAAATGTATTGACCATAGCCCATGTTTATGAATTTGGAGTACAATGATTCTTACTAAGGTTGAGCCCTACATAATACTTTTTCGGTGTCTCAACATATCACTAAGTTACTCCTTGGAGGACAAATGAACAAACACCTAAAACAGAGCTTAGTTATTCTGGTAAAATGGAAACAGTTCAACTAGACAGCATTTTTCAGAACATAATCTACTAACATTGTGTAAAAAAGTGTACATAATATGAAGATGTGTTGTTCTCGGTCCTCTTGGTACCAAAATAGTGTACAGAAAATTGATAAATCTACAACAGAAACCGAAAGATTTCATTCTTACATAATCCTAAATTGACAGGCGTATCCTGAGAAGAATAGTAACAAGGTTGTTGCACAATGAAAATCAATAATCCCCAAAACATGCAGGTTAAGTTATATATCTGATCATTGCAAAAAGGTTAGCATTCATCATTGCAAAAAGGTTAGGGATGCAGTGCTAAACCTCTACATCATCGCCGAGCTCCCCATCTTCAAGCTCCTCATTCCATCCAGTTCTCCTGGAACCATCCCCGTGCTCCCTCTTGTGTTTTTTATGCCGAGTTTCATTGTCTGACTCAGAGTTTGCATGCTGAAAGAATATAGTCATTTCAGATACATATTCTAAATTGTAAGACTTAGAATCAAGTTTTTGCAAGATGCAGTAATATTCATACCTTCCTAGACTTCTTTCGTTCACTTCCATGTCTTCGCGATTTTCTAGATTCTTCCTTCTCGTCTTTTTCAGAATCCACGTCTTCTAAACTACTCTGATGTCTTCTCCGATGTTTTCTTTCCTTATCTTTATCCTTTTCTTTTTTCTTCTCCTCTCTATAACCATGGCTGTCCGTTATGTCAGGATTATCGCTATCTGTGTCATCTTTCTTATGTAGTTCCTTAGACTTCTCTTTTTCACGTTCTCTTTCCTTCTCTTTTTTCTCTTTCTCTTTACGTTTCTCTTTCTCTTCTCTTTCTTTCTCCCTCTTGGCCTGCAAAATATTATTTTATTATTCATAAAATAAGATGATGACCCCTGATAACATAAACCAAATGCAGGAAAATATTCCTAGGTCATCATCATGCACGGTACACAACCGGATAGAGCCCATAAAATCAAGGTAAAGAAACTGTATATTATCCGGAGTAAAGAGAAATGATAATCTGGTTGAAATGAAAAATGAAATGATAATCCCGAGTTCAAAAACTCCTATTCCAGAGCAAAGAGCCTAAAAGGAAACAAAATCTCAACAAAAAGAAAATTCAAGTAACCGTGATTAACTCTAATTTGGCGAGAGAAAATTGGCAAAAGCCCGAGTGCACAAAAGATGTGCATCGTGAAGACTAATAAATAATAAAGTAAATGCCTCGCTGTCTGGCTCAGCAGTATAAAATAGTTACAATATAAAATAAGGAACATAATTCACTTTTATGATGTATAATGTTTTCAATCTTATCGTCCAGAGAAGAGAAATCAGATAGGAAAAATATTTTTTCTTTAGATGAAGAAAAAATGATAAATAAATGAGTTAGATAAATAATGTTAAATGACACATCCTTATTTTTATTTTATATACAATGAAATGAAAATGTAATTTTTATCTTTTAACTAAGCATTACTTAACAATTATTTATGAAAACAATTGTAACAAATATTAGTTTGACTGACAACTAAGTCATGGACATTTTAATTATAACTGTATAAGTTTTAGTAACATCACTAACAACATGGGAAAAGTAAAAAAATTATTTCAATTTCTTTCCTCTCATTGTCTGCCGAACCAAAACAATGAGTAAAGCAAAACATGAAACCTTGTCATAACCATAGCTATTAACTAAACTGAAGAAATCAAAAGACTGTTACAAAGCACCCACTCCATTACATCCACAGAATAAGCACAAGCATTAAACCAAACTGAGCCAGTCATTTGCATTAACAACTAATTCATTCCACTGTCTGAACCAGATAGTTATATTGCAATAAAACTTAAAAAATTAAAATTCGAGCATATCAAACCAGATTATCTCGACAACCATATCAAACATATATAAATGTTACAAAATCCAAAGCAATTATGCACCTTTTCCTCTTCACGCTTGCGTTCCTTCTCTTTAACTTTTTCCTTTAAGTATGTAATGTATTCCTCAAAAATTTCTCTACTGTAGCTTTCATCCCCAATTGACCTATAAAAGGAAATGCAGGGTAAAAAACCATCAAGCAAAAATTCCTCCATCATGGAGACATAACGACCTACAACTGCTCCATCTACATTAAAAAAAATGTAATAATTATACCTGTACTCTTGTGCCTCCTCAAAAAGTGGCTTGCAATCCTCCCATATTGAATTAGTAGTAATATCCTACAAAAATAAGATGATGTTGTATTATGCTCAGTAGCAAATTATTTAGCCAAATATTGTGATATATGAATCACATCATTGGTCGAATCTTCATCTACCTTGAACGAATATAACAAGTTAGTAAAGTCATCAGCAAGGCGTTGCCGTTTCTTAGCTTCTTTCTCCTCCTTCTCCTTAGCTCTCTCTAATAATTCTTCATATAAAAGCTTTAAAAGAAAAACAAAGTATCAACTTCTGATAATCCATGTTGCAAGGAAATAAGCAATACTGTATTAAATAGACCAACAGGCTGACAACCTCTTCAAAGAGATATTTGCATCAATATGCACATGAGATTCTATGTTTTTGAAGTTAATCAAAAACATTATGAGACACATACAACAATTGATAGAATGAGAAAATGAGTATCATATTGAAGTTTCAAACTCAATAAACATAACTACTGATTATATGTTCTATAATAGATTTAAGTTTATATCAATAACATGTGAAAATGCATCAACAATTGCATGTAAAATGAACCAACAGAAGTCGAAGGTATATGCACTTGTTCTTCACTCCGTCTCAAAATTTGTCACTTTAGCAAATGACACACGAATTAAGAAACATAATTAATTTTGTATAGGAACTACAAGAATTACAAAAATTAAAAAATATTCATTAATGGTAAGAGATAGTGAAATTACAGGAATTAAGAAAAAGAGTAATAAATAGTAAGAGGTATAATAAAAAAATAACATTAATACTTCACTGTATTATAAAATGACACGACAAGATAATTTTTTTGCCTAGAATGATTATATTATATTGTGGGACAGATTATGTGTCCGGAGCAAAAAAATAAATTGAAATGGACAGATTACAACAAAAATTTATCACCTTCAAATTGATCACTGATATCGTTTGGCAAGCAGCTTCTTCTAATACAGAAGACTTGAAGTCCTCATATACTGATGTGGTCACTACTGTGATCTACTCGAATAGGAAAGGAAGCTGAGGTTAGCAGAGTTTGTCATTAAATATAAGCTACAGATAAAAACGTAAGGAAAAAAATTGTATGCCTACCTTGCCTGACTTAAGTGTATCTTTTATGAGTGTCTTGTCTTCGTGATACTATCAACAAGTCATGTGAAAAATAGAAATCAGCAGCATTTCAATACTTCCACATTATATCACTATCTAATAAAATATGTCTAGCAAATCACTATATTACTCCTGAATCCTGATCAACAATACTCAATCAAGACACTAAAGGAAAAATACAACAGTAGTCTTGTTTTCTTGAACTTTTAAATAAGTTGAAATCAAGTCAACTTACAATAACCACTAATTACAAACGGCCGGAATTTCTTTCATTCCGTTTGACCATTGAGCAACTCATTAGGACTCAGAAGAAAGCAGGACATAGTCAGAACAGGGTGTCACTCCAAAAAAAAAAGAGTATTTTTGGTTGGTGAAAGATTGTTTACAAACAGTAAACCAGTGACTTACTTCCATAGAGCGTAATAAACTAATAACACCATCCTAGTTCTCCCTCTGTTTCAAACCCTCTGTTTCAAAACGAGTGTTTTTTTAGCAAATAAATTTTGTTTAAAAATGAATAACATACTCACTTTTCAAAGTAGAAATCATTGTTATTTTTCCATTTGCGCCCTTTAATTATTATTGTGTATTCCAACATATTAACAAGGTTAATTTAGTAAAAGTGTAAAGTCTTTGACAACTCTGTTGTAATTTTTAATCTATGTGCATAAAAACTCATTTTGAAACGGAGGGAGTACTTTCAAAAAAAAAATACATATCATTCTAGTTTTCACAGCGATAAACATCTATAACAAACTCATTCACAACATTAAAAATAAAAACTTCAAATAGATTTTTGATAACCTTCTTTTCAAGATCTTCAAAGACATCCTCATATAAATCTCTCGGAGTAGAACCAGATGTATTTGATGCAACAGCTTGATATTGAGGTAACTCTTTCACCTACAAAATAGAGAGCATAAAAAATGTTTCCCTTCCAAGTTTTGCCAGCTTTCATTGGGACCAACTAAATGTTTTACTACCTTCAAGCAATAATCTCGCCATTGTGTTTTAGCTGTAAGAACTCCATCAGCAATATGTTCTTCCAGCAACTTGCGAAATGCATCACGGTTTTTCCTTTCACCCCGACGGATTCGTTCCTATATCATACTTGTTAAAACGAATACACAAAAGCAAAATTGACCTGAAAAACAACTGATAATCATACACTTATGTTCTACCTTCTGTATCCTTTTCTGTTCCTCTTCCTCCTTCTCCAAGTCACGAATATAATCCTGCCAAAGTTAATATCAGCACATAGACCCCTCATACATGACTATCAGGTTTTAGTTAAAACTCAAGCGAGTCAGGCCCACAAAACCAACTTGTAAGTTGAGAATTGCCTTTTATAAGCTCTAAATAGGCCATATCTCTAGCCAATGTTGGACTTGAATATTTTCCAATAATGAACAACTAAAAGAACATATTCTTAGAATTTGGGTTGGTAACTCATCCCTACAAACTGGCTTGTAGGGTGAGGATTGCCCCCACTTATAAACACAACACAAGTCACATCTCTAAGCAATGTGGGACTAAATACACCCTTCAAACCCAATACAATGAAGGTGTTGGGAGCTGCAATTAAGGCAAGCTAAATGCCGCAATTAAGGCGACTAGGGGTGGACCACAATTAAGGAGAAAATTCCAACACATATACCTGGTAAACAAGCAAGCGGTCAATTTTTTTCAAGTAGTAAGTGCTCTAAGCAATGTGGGACTAAATACACCCCTTCAAACCCAACACAATGAAGGTGTTGGGAGCTGCAATTAAGGCAAGCCAAGTGCCGCAATTAAGGCGACTAGGGGCGGACCACAATTAAGGAGAAAATTCCAACACATATACCTGGTAAACAAGCAAGCGGTCAATTTTTTCAAGTAGTAAGTGTCTATCATCATCCTCTAGCCGATCTTGGATTTTTCGCCAATGACTATTCACCTAAAATGATGTGAAAACAATAAGAAAAGGGTTTGAGAACAAAGCAAATTACAACAGAAGTGCACCTTTTCAATTTTTTTCAAATGTACCTTCACAAAATCACAGGACTCCAGAAACTTCCTATATTCTGCTAAATTCCGCCGGTGTTCCTCAGCAGCATTTTCCTTTTCCTAAAGTTGACACAGAAAGGATAATAGTAAGAATGGACAAGTTGACACATCACTAATTGCAAAGTTTAGCTATTTAAATTTAATGAGAAATTTGAATTTAAATCAGCTAATGCTAGGGTTTTGTGGAATAGATGAATACTCGGAATTAAACACTAACTAGGTAACACGCTGATATCACAAACATCAGTGGCAAACTCATCAGCCCTCCCCTAAAATCAGTAAATAGTTTCAAACAGTAAGTTTAAACTCAAAATAGGTAGTATGACTAATTTGATTCACACCCAACTGACACCATAAATTGAATGGGAGGTTGAATTTGGATATTGAGCTATAGTACTTTAGACAGCTTCCCAAAAATTGAAAGAATAATGACAATCAAGCTACTATAGGTGCCATATGGACTCTAAAACAACAAGGAAATAGAGGAATTTAAGCTGTATAACATCAAGAAGCTGCTCTTTTTGCGATTATGATTTACTGCTCGTTTTATATTGGCAATGGACTTGGACTTTGTTTTGCCAGTATGGCTTATGACTGGGCTATCTGAGTAATCTGGCTATACGAATGATTCCAATATATTGTGACTTAATATAGTTGAGCAAGTGGCGTTCATTTTTGTTGGACAGTTGGGATTTCTTGTTAATAAAATTAATAGTAATAAATAGTAAACATACCAGTGAAGATAATAGTAAAAATAAGAGTAAAAGTAGATACGGAAGTATTGTTTAAGAGATTAAAAGACATGATTTTATTTATGCAAATACTTAAAAGGTTTGGCAAATAGAGGATTCCAAGTTCTAAGACTCAAAACTCAGATGCCTAAAAGACTCACAACAGATCCTTTTATAGCAAAAGGATGACTATCCCCAAATTGAGCATTCTAAGAAAATCCACATATCCCTAAAGAAAAATGTTTATGCAGTGCCTCCTTGGTACCAACCAACAACAGACCTAAATGACATGACATGCTGACAAAGGCTCGTAAGTAAAAATATAGTAACATGGTATCACCTTTCTCTCAAGTTCCACCATGTAACTTTCAAATAAATCTTCCCGGTCTCTGGGTCTTTCAACGGCATTGAATCGTTCATCATTTTCAAGCATACTTATAGCTTTGCTGATTTAAGTAAATAGTTAATTAGAAATTTTAAGACGGGTCAGTTCAGCCTAAAGGGAACACAAAAAACAAATCATTCATCAGACATGCAAAATTAAACCTCCATCTAGTGGACGATTTTAGCTCCTTGCACTCCTGAAAAGAGAATGTTTCTAATGAGTAACTAGTAAAGGCACAAATTAATCATGTATTCTGTTCAACATACTTCTAACATCTTTGTGAATTCTTCACGGGCTTTTTTCTGCTTTATGCGCCTCTCTTCAGCCTCTAGCTTCTTCCTTTGGCCCAAATACTGAATGGATGATAAAATTGATCAATGTCAAAGCCCGATCAAATAGTATGAGACTGAAATATTTCACTTGATGCAAACTGAAGGGTATGATGTAAGGTCAGATATGCAAAGTCCCATAAGAGGCCTGACTCTCACCTCATTGAATGCTTGTTTTCGCTCACCAAGTGTTTTCAGGGCATTATATCTTTTATCACTGATGATTTCTCTCATTGCCTGAATTACAATTCAATATAGTAATTATCATTTGAAACACAAGAATGAGTGGAAAACTGAAGGTGTGTCATCCATCTACCTGTTCCCACGTCCAATCAGAATGAACATTCGCAGATTCCAGAAGCGCTTTAAATGCATTTTTTGCTTCCTGAAAGAGTAATGTAAAGTGGTGATAAACAAGATGGAGAAGAATGATATAACATACAGACCTACCAAGTTTTTTAATAGAGATTATCCATGACATAAAGAATCCTTACCAGCTTATTTGCATATACAAAAGTTTCACCATCATTGGTTTTCTCCTCTGAAGGAGTCACATTAGTTTGTCCAACTACAGGAAATCCTCTTTTGGCTTCCTACAAGAGTTGCAAGGTAATTTGAATAGATTCTCAATTAGACAAAAAATTTAAGATTCTCAATTAGACAAAAAAATTTAAGATTCTCCTAGTGTTATATGAATGAACCAAGTTGCAAAAGTAGACAATTATGGATTAAAATACGACAAATAGAACTTTATTCTAGTATTTATTTTTTCTTATTCATCAATTGCTTTGTTTTTACAGGCATGTGTGAAAATGTATGCTAGGATTATAATATACACTGCAGGCATCTATCTCCAAACAGGCCATACTTTTAGAGTGATTACAATTCCAATAATCCTAAATAATAGAAAGAAAATACCTCCACATCTTGAAGAGGAGCTCCATTGACAGAAGTAGAATCATGAGTTGCTTGATTTTCAACACTATACCACAAAATTTTCAATATATAAGTCAGCATTGAAAAAACAACCAGATATAAGAGAGAAATTAAGTTATAAGAAATCATTGAGCTCGCAGAACAAAAATTTATACATGGATGGAATTTTTGAATCAAGTGAGTTGGCTGCTATTCCCGAGCTTCCTGTGACAGTTGTGGGTGCAGTGCTCACAGTTACAACAGTGCTTGGTTCAACTCCTGTGGTGTTTGAAGTAACTACCGAATTGGAAACAGAGGTACCCAATAACCGTTGATGATCAGTGAGTATGATTGGGGTAATAGAAGACGGGTTTGAAGCAAGACCGTTAGATGTCAAAGTGTTGGAATTAGCTGCATTAGCGGGTGTTGGTGTTGCAGCTAAGGAGGCAGCAGCATTGGATGTATTACTTGCATTTGACACCATTCCCTGGCTAATAGTTTTATGCGCCTGCTCACGAGCCAGCTGAATCGAAATTTTGCAAATAGGTAAGAAACTGTCGGGCAAATAATGGAAAACAATTACAAACCACATCTTTAACCATAAACCTTGAGTTCTTCTGGTATTGTCCATGTTGATTGCTGAGTAATCTTATTGAAGTAATACCTGCAGCAAGTCACAGCCAAAACATAAAACAGTAAATTTAACAATTACAAACTAATGACATGGAAAGGGTACAGAAAAAAGATATGGTACATTTTGTAAATAATATTATATAATAACTAGACAAAACATACTTTCTTCCATCTGAAGCAGTGAACTCTTTCCAGACAGTTGATGCGTCAGCCCTCTGTCACATCCAGCAGAATTAGTAGGTTTTGAAAATGCTCAAAGTAAACCACTCAAGAAAGATTATTATATTGAAGTAATAAGTAACAGCAAGCTAATAAAAGAAAGAAGATTAACTATTGATATACAATAATATTGTCAAAAGTCAAAACTAATAAGAATGATACAACGAACAACAATTTATATATCCCTGTGCATAAATAATTAAATATATATAAACAATGCATTTATAAGAGGGCCAAAGTAAAAAAGAAACTAATAGATTGATAAATGAAAATAAAGCAAGAAAATAAGCATATAGAAATGCTCAGCACTCAGCAGCACACCATATATCTTACACCCACCCATCCTAATTAGATCACTCTACAAAATCACTAGAGGAAGGGTAATGGAAGGGTGCAGTCAACCATCAATTAATGGCATTGCAGAACCAAAATTATACACCAATCTCACATTTTAGGTTTAAATAAACAAATAACGTAAATAGCAAACTGTTGCCTGACTTGAGAAAATGCAGCCCCGGCCTTCACAGTGACCATATAGAGCAGTTGTTAAAATTTCTCCTGAATTGCGATGATATCTACAAATCAGTGGAAGTACATACAATAAAGGATATCCACATTGTAAACCTTTCATGATCATTGGAAACATTGTAGAAATGGTCAAAATCCATACTAGATACCAGTTGGATTGAACACAACATTTTCAAAGCATGTCCAACCGATAATAAAAATGTCATCCGATTACAGCAACATGAAATTTTAACCCACCTCAAGAGGTGACATCAACTCCAAAGGTTTTTCCCAACTAGATTGCCTTGTAGTCTTGTTGTAGTAGTATCTGGTTCAGTTCGGTAAAAAACAAAAAAATTATTACGCCTCAAAATAATGCAAATTGTGAGAGCAGTAATTTGTCAAATCTTCAACAAAAATTGAAATACCATACAAGGTATTTTGTTTTTGCTAAGAAAACAATATATAATTATATTAACCAATACCTTCTCCCATCACCAGCAGCATGCTCTGCCCAATCAGATGCAGAGTTCGAGTTAGTGGTATTAGCTGCCTAAAATTTGTCAGAGCAAAAAAACAACAATTATTCAATCTTAAATATTCAGAAAAGATAATATAAAACAGATTTATATCATCACAAGTTTATAAATTTAATTCATTGTATTGGAGAAAACTCGAGTCTCACATTGAAAATAGATAAGGCCTGAGAAAAAGTTTAAAGAGTGGCAACCTCGCGTTTAATACATTGAATCACATATAATGTGAAGTATTGCAAAAAAAGAAACTAATGACCTATTAAGATTGAAATAGCCACTCTTAAGGAATTTCAAAAAGATGAATTAAAACAATATAAACATGTAAGCAAAAGTATGGGAACGACACTTACAGTATCACTTGAAGCAGTACCAGATGATTGAACTCCAGCCTGCTGTACTGATGTAACCGCTGCAGCACTCTGAGGTACTGAGGACGGCCAAGGTTGTCCAGCAGGAGGTGCAAGCATTTGAGGTGGATGCTGGTATTGGGGCAATGCATTAGCATTGTCTTGCTGCTGGCCATAAGATGGTGTGAACTGAAAAATTGCAAATGATGTGTCAAAGCAAAGGTATATATAGGTATAATTCAAAGAAAAATCTAGTAATCTACAACAGGAGAAAAAAGTTCAAAAAGCAAGGCAACCCGTACAGTATATGAAGATTGAGAAGGTGCTCCTGAAACAGCCAAACCAGGCATATGATTGTTTGGGTGGGGAACAGCTTGCTGTGCATGTTGTGGAACAGATGTCAGCGGCCTGTTTGTTTGAATATAAGGCATAGGTATACCTTGTGGTGAAGAAACGGGATGACCGGGCTGAATTTGTCTTGGAGGCAACTGTTGCATTTGTTGAGAATACTGCAATTGCTGACCCTGAATAACAGGCATCCCAACATTAGACGAAGGAACAGCATGTCCAAATTGCTGTGATGTCATTGGAACAAATGGTTGCCCTTGCTGTGCATGAATGACTGGCCGAAACTGCAGATAGAAAGCGGTGAGTGATTGTAAAATATTCAAGTGAAAGAATAGTTAATACTCCCTCTATTTCTAATTATAACCCCCCATTAGAAAATAATGTGTCCCTAAATATAAGCCCCCTTTCAAATTACTAGATGCATTATTATTTTTTTCCTAACAAAACCCTATTTAATCTTGCTAATTTACCTTTGAATAAGAAAAGTTAATATTGAATATATCTCTAAACAAAGGGGAATTTAGTATTACTCACATGCAAAATGGACGCATTAACTACACAACAACTTTTAATAATATAAGTTAAATTTGCAATGGAGGCTTATTATCAGGGGCAGAGGGATTCGCACATACAACAGCAACCGCCACCAAGCACTGTCCTACTAAGTAGAGTTAGCTACATGAGTCAGATGAGACCGTAATTCCCTATGAAAAAGTAATAAATAACATCAATGGGAAAAATGAAATAACTTGCGTAAATAAGGGAGAACCAAACTTTTGAGGATCCAACAATCAAGGCAAAAGAGGCCATATAGACTATGTTGTTGATCTCTGATAGCGTTGCGTAACACCGACTCTTAAAAATGCTATGGCGGTATAGCGGATAGCAGATAGCGGGATAGGCGCTATAGCAGAGACTAACAACCCGTGAACAAAGTAAACATAAATACTCAAAAATAGACTAGTACACAAAACTGAAGATCATCATACATAATACACAAAGTAAACATAAAGTATAGAGTAATAAAACTTACGCAGAGGAGAAGAATAAAACAGAAATGAATTAGAAGTAGGAAGAACATAATGATTATTTGTGAGCAAGAACATAAAATTACTATTCAAGGGGTTCAAATTAAAATTTATACCCTGAAAAAAAACAGTTTAAAAAATTAATTTGAGGAATTTATCCACAAATTTCTAATAGGGGGCGCAATAGCGGCTGCGATAGCAGTTTGGGGCCGCAATTAGCTGCCGCACATCCTCTATTGTTGACAGCAGCTCACGGACCACTAACACTGCTATGTTATTTCTCTATAACGTGTTATTGACAATGTAGCTTATACATTAGTCTAAAGATAAATAAATAACATATACTAGAATATAGGGGGCATATGTGAGAATGACTTGTTTATGTGAGAACAGAGAGAATAAATAGTAGCCGTTAGATTTTAATAGTGTGGCTAAAATTAAAAGAAGATTAGGGTATACTAAGATGAAAGGAAGATTAAAAGTCACAAGTTGAGTTATTGTGACACAGATCATAAGATCCGGCTTAAAATGTAAAATCTAAAAAACATGAAATGTTGAAAATGTGATTTATTAATTTGTATTTGATAGAGGTTATGAAATAGGAAAAAAACGGTTACTCCACAATTTATAGAGATGACAAAGACTGGAGGATATATACCACATGGAGGCCCAAAACCAAGTCCAGCTAAAGCAAAAGGGGAAGGCTTGGCAGCAGAAAGGCTGAGGGCTAGAGCTGATAGAAACAGATAGATTGAAGGGCTTTCCAGAGTGCTTGAGACACAAGGTTGATGTCCCTTATCATGAGTGAAGAAGAGAAGACAAATTCAGTGAGGGAACACTGGCACAGATTGAACTGGATAAGAGAGCACCGACAAAGAACGATGTGAATAAAAGGATGGTATGATAGATGAGGAAGCATGTCCGGAAGATAGAAGCCAGCACAAGGGCTCCAAAAATAAGTGAGAAGTGGTAATGCATATGAATCATATACAAAAAAATTTGTATTGTTAGCAAACAACAATTAATAACTTATAGCGAAAAGTATAAAATAAGAAAATCAGCTCACTGAGCACATATCCTAATATTGTCATTAAAAATACACATCGCATAGTGGGTTATATACCAGAAATGAATTTTCAGAATCTGACATCAGAAGCGCCCTGCATAGTTAAATGAATTAGCAGAACATATTATGGTCATCACACTTGCTACCACATTCGGCGGATTAAATAGAAACAGGACTGCATTGACTCACATAAGATACAACAACAACAATCACGCCTTATCCCACTAAGTGGGGTCAGCTAATCAACTTCTCAAGGTCTATCCATTGACTCGCATAAGATCAATAGAAAGAAAGAAAAAAAAGATGCCATGTGCAGAAAATAAGGAATAATCCGTCAATTTGGTCCCTGAACTATCACCCTCTCTAAATTGATCTGTAAATTATGGGAACCTACTACACAATCAGTAAACTACTCTTCAAATCATCATCTGGTTGGTCTCTAAACTATTCTCAAATCCGTTTATTCAGTCCCTCCGTCACTTAGCGCAGTTCGAGTGGCATCAACTGCCCCGCTAACACTCCGTCTATATCTTAGGCAACAGTTTTGAGAAAAATTAATAGTTCATCGACTAAATTAACAGCTTATTCCGAACAAAATCACAATTTAGTGTTGACAAACATTATCACAATTATTACATAATCAAGCAAAGCAGATTACAAAGAAGCAACATTGCATCAATTAAATTATAACAATTGAAAACGAATTAGGTTACCTGAGAATTATTGGCCATATAATACAGTCTATCACGGTTTCACAAATCAATCCCTGAAACGAACCACAAGATGCGTCAGTTATCACACAATCGCGATGCGGACGCAATTCTCTTATGCAGAGGCGGGGACGACGATGCAACAGAGAATTGCGGACGCCGGAAAATTGAAAGAGAATGGAAGTGAAGAGTTGGACGAGATTCCGACTGTTTGTGGCGGACGACGACCAAGTCTGCTGCGTTTCCCGGCGGAGGTTTTGGTTGTTACGGACGGTTTTGAGTTGAGATGGAGAGATTCAAATCGAAGCTTTGTTTCTGATACAATCAGGGTTTTGATTTGACGAAGCTGATGAGTTTTCTTGATTTTAGGGTTTTAACTTTTTATTTATTTTTCAAAAAGGTTTTATTTGTTAAACTGTTTTTTTTTTTTTGTGACGAGGATCGTCTTATTTGAAAGGAAATTAATCTTATTAAAAATAAAAAATAAAATTTATTATAAATATATAAATTTTAAAGTATTTGGTAATGAAATCTTAATCCTTTTAATTAAAAGTTTTAATTTCACTAATTGTAAAGATAATTTTGTCTTATTAAATCATAAATAGTTTATATTATTTTGGTATTAAATGATACTGAGTTAGGCCCAAAATCAATTCGTAGCTCACCATAAAATGTGCAAAGATAATTTTAACATGAAACCTGACACACGTGCACATGCCACTCCTAGGGTACGCCTCACTTGGTTGCCTCGAGGTGGTCATTGAGTATAGGGTGTTTTAGAGGTCGCCCTCCTGTCTAAAGATCCAGTTGCCTCGAAACGGTTGCCTCGGATAAAAAGGATCTAGGACATTAGGGTTACCGCTAAGGCGTCCTACTATTGCTTTGGTGACCACACATGTCCCTATAATCGAATTGACCCGAATAACTCCAACGACAGTGCTACCTACTTCTCAATAGTGGGATAGTATTGTCTAAAGGACTCTTACACAACTTAATTCCTTAGAGTAGGTAGATTTCTCCTGAGTACTTGCTCTTTCAAAAAACAAAAACAACTTTTCGCACCTACACTTTCAAAAAGTTTTCAAACAAACACTTCATACACTCTTGAGGACTGATACAAGAGTTACCTAGAAATTTTTTTCAAAACAAACTTTTTCAAACCCACAAACACAAGAAAAGCAAACATTTTTGAAAACATAGTGAGCAAGTACCTAAGAGCCCGTGGATAACCACGGATAGAAAGGATGATAACACCTTCCTTTTCTATAATCTACCTCCCGAACCGAGAAACATCTCGAAAAGGAATTTTACTGTGCTTTTGTCCTTTCCTTGTTGGAGAAAATAAAAGACGGTGGCGACTCTTGCTTACCGCGACATTTCGCGAACCAGCATTTCAAAACAGTCAGTTCTATTTCCACCGATCACAGTAAGATATTTTCAATAACAGTATATCGAGACAAAGTCTCAAACATTTTGAATATCATAACTTCTTGTTTTTTTTCTTCTGAAAGCAAAACAGGAACAAAACTCTGATGAAGACAGAAGAAGATGCATCAAAAGCTCTGATCAGAATGAACTTAAAGGAAGTAATTCATCTATATCTGAGTACTCAACTCAGGGGGAGACTCTCTAATGCTTTATGTTCTGTCTATTTTAATTGAAATATCCTAGTTTTTGTCATCATCAAAAAGGGGGAGATTGTTAGAACATAGTTTGATTCTACAACCCTCGTAAGAGTTTTGATGATAACAAACACAAAGAACAATTATGCACTCTAAAATTATATTGTGTGTTGTAGAGAAGTTCTGATGGAAGTAGATTAGAAGATAAGCTACAAGGATGTTCCTGCTGTGAATGTAGACTATTCTCAGAAAGTTCTGATGAATGAAGATCAGAAGTTGCACTAAGAGAAAGACGTTTTAACTCTGAAAGAAAGTCTAACGCTGCAAACAAGATCTTATGATTCTGACCTTCCAAAGTTCTGAAGCAAGCAACAAACAGATTCCTTAATGTTATGAAGCGTTACAATTCATCAAAGCTATATCAAATGCAACGGCTACAAACAGATAAGGATCTTTTATTTGAGGAAAGCATATTAATTGACATTTATCAAGTTTCCAAATACTCAAAGATTGTTGCGCCTATTTAAACAAGGGATAAGGATAAATCGTTTACAATTTACACACTACAATTTATAATACTTCAACGCTACTATCCTTTCCACTCCTCATTCATACTATTCTCTAAACTGTGTAATACATCACAAGTCTGTGATACTGTTTTTGTAAGGAAAAACATATTGTACACTGCTTTATTCATATTTTGTTTAGTACAATTCCTTGAGAAAAACCGGGTTGTGGTTATACTCAATAAGACTTTGGCAGTAGTCAAAGTAGATTTGTAATCAAGTTTGATTAGTGAAATAATATCTCGTTGGAGAGAGGCGAAATCACCTTGACGGGTGGACTGGAGTAGTTTGAGTTCAAACGAACCAGGATAAAAACCATCGTGTTATTTCCATTGTTTTTTTAAGATTCCAATTCAACCCCCTTCTTGTGTTTTTCAATTCTTCAATATAGTCTTGAAATATTGTTTGCTTATATAGTACTTCTATAAGGTAATACCTTTGACATAACAATTTTCCCCAACGCCTCAAGTGGATTCCTTTCCATATGTACTTAACCAACTCGGCTATTAATTTTTTATACATATAATTCACCACTAGGTTCCCCTAAGGTCAGTCATGGAAAAGTAATAGGTTAGGAACAATAATGAGTAAAATGATACATGTTGTATACGAATCGATTTAGGAAGGCCTTATTGTTGTATTGAAAAAGTTTCTTTAGGTAGAAATGTCTATTGACCTTAGCTCCCTTAGTGTCCTTGAGTAGTTGACATGATAAGATAGTCACATGAACTAGCTTGTTTGGTCTACAACTATTTGTCATGTTGGACATTGTTATAGTTTATAAGTCTTATAATATCATAAAATTGTTGAAATACTTTATACATGATGTCATGCATCCCCATATCTAATTGATGTCTAATGCAAGACAAATTCATTACCATTGTTTAATCAAGTAGATCCACTGTCCTAATTCTATTAACATTGGGAAGAGACATAATCATTGGCATTTCCATTAATTGTGAAGGTTTGCTCGGTCATTATCGGGTTCACCTCCTTATATATGGGGTGACAGTTGATTCATGTTATTACATATGTGGAAATTATTGGATCGAAACACTAGTGTTGAGATGTCGACATAAAAAGTTTCTTGGTTCAACAAGGTTCAAGCATGCCGTTGAAGTCTGCTCACTGCTGTAGTCAAAATGCTAGATTTATTAGCATGTCAAATTGGGTCAGTTTATTATGCTAATTCTTTAAGTTAGCTTGTTCCATAAGTTAGCTTATAAATAACATACTAGTCTCTCATATTTGTAATTTAGCAAATTCTAATTTATGGTGAGAGAAGTTATTTGTTATTCTATAACACTTGTAATCTTGTTTCAAAGAGAAAGTAAAGAATAACAGTTAATAATCAATTCCCCGTGTTCTTCTTGCTTTCTCGATTCCTACCTTGTGGGTTTCTTTCCGTCAATGAAACCTTTTATACTTTGTTCTTGGTATTGTTTTTTATAATAAATTAGTGCGGTGAGCGTGAAGAAGATGCCTTCAACAAAGTATGAGATTGAAAAGTTCACCAGAGTGAATGATTTCAGTCTGTGGAGCTTGAAGATGAAAGCCCTAATGGTTCAGTAGGGTTGGTTATAAGCGTTGAAGGGAGCAGCGGCCATGGATGCTACGTTAATAGAAAAAAAGACGACCATGATAGAAATAGCCCACAATGCAATCTTATTGAGCCTTGGTGATAAGGTTCTTCGGCAATATCAAAGGAGACGACAACGTCAGGGTTATGGGTGAACTTGAAAGTTTGTACATGACCAAATTGCTGGTAAATTGACTCTACCTGAAGCAAGCTCTATATTCATTCAAGATGATTAAATACAAAGTATTGGCTGAGAAGTTGAATATGTTTAACAAGCTAATTCTTGATCTTGAAAATATCAATGTTAAGATCGATGATGAAGATAAAACACTATTATTGTTGTGTGCTTTGGCCAGATCACATTCTCACTTCAAAGAAACTCTTTTGTATCGGAGAGAGTCCCCGGCCTTTGAAGAAATTCAATCATCTATGTATTCTTCACTTAAGTTCTCAACTACCTACGTTATTGAAGGTATTTGTTTCTTTAAATATGTAGTCAAAACTTAATCCCTTTTTGGAAGTCCAATATTTTAATTTATCATTAACTCCAATAATTTGCATTTCTTCTTTGCTAAATCTATCAATATACTCCCAAAGTGTCTCTTTCTTCCTATGATTACCGATTGAAGATGACCACCGTGTAAGAGATTTTGATACTATGGTTATGAATTTTTAGTGAGCAGAGAGGGAGGGGTGCTTACAAAAGTTCAACACTCCAACACTATTTTGTGTTTGATTAAGGTGAAACTATGTAAGTGTGTGCAAAAAGAATACATGAGTGTGACCAATGGTCACACTTGTATATAGGAGATAGTTAGAATTGTCTTCTGATTATCCAACAATAGTGTGTAGACAACCATTGGATGTAATCAACAACCTAGATAAAGAAGGAGGTCATGCTTTTATGAGGTGCCCACAATTAAAGTTCTACTTGTGCGCGTCCTTTGTCGGATTACACCTATAAATTAGGACACTCTTAATAGACATTTGTCTAGCCTATAACATTTGCTACCACCATATTGCAGGTGGAACACTAAGGATAGTCATGGATGATTGAAAACTTATAGTGGTATTGGTTGTAGTGTCACGTTAAGCCTGCCAAATATTTTTTGAACGAGTAAAGTTTCAAAAAGATTCAAACGATAGTTCTTAACAATGATTCTCTATTTCTTTAAGAGATTACGCTGAGGAAGGAACTCAATTCGTTAATTGTCAGTTCCTTAACTATTCTAAATAACATTAAGTACATACGTG